ACATCTTTGATATGCCAAAAACAGTAACAAGTCTCACAATGGAGACGTTACTGGTGCCTTCTTGAGAAAATCAATGAACAACGGGAGGACAGTGCTATAGTGTTATTCTCCTAACATTAAATTAAATAATCACGATCACGATCATCCTGTTGTTCGTCGATTGTCTCGAGCAGGCATCAGTAACGTCTCCTTCTATATATCCCTGAGATTTTAAAAGATCTATTTCAGTACTCTTTCAGGATTAGGAGGATGAGACCCATCATTGTTACTGGTATTTGGCATATTGAGTATGACACGGGAAGTTTGCCAGACTCTGCCGTGCGGACAGGATACTTTTTGTAGCCTGCCAGGTTCTCTAAAGGAAAGATAATAAGATAATAATAATAATTAAATAATATTAAGTCATATTAAAGTGAGCATTTAGTAACTCATGCTTTCTTTAATCACAAGTCATATGCAAGAAGACTGAAAATTGCTTTTTTGATTTCAAAGCTTCCATAATTTAGCTTCTCTGGTATATTCATAAACATTTTCTCAGTTTTCTCCATGGTTTGATTATGCAAATTGAAGATAAATAATAGCATTTGCAAAATTGTGACACATAATATTAAAGAACCAAGTTCTGTGAGTATTTGGAGACGGGGTAGACAACTAATTGGAAGCTTTGTGTCTCGAAAGCACAACATTATAAACATCGAGGTCAAATTAATTCTCATTTTACACATTCAAACACTGTGAATGTTGTCGCAAGAGTGTGCTTTGTTTTGCATCCTTGAATCATTAATTCAACAATAAGCAAGTTATTAAAATGAAGAATCAAAACAATATGCAAATCCACAAATCATATATAAATCCCACATTATTTACATTTCCAATGAATTTATTAATCCTGTGAAACACTGATAGCAATAGTGAAATCGTGGCTTTCGAAAGGTTGTCTTGGCAACAGTTTGGCTTGGTTTCCATGGTTACTAAGAGTACAGCTGAGAGGCTCAAAGAATGAAAATTTCCTTTGATTGGTAGATCCTAAAAAGTTATGATTTGGAAAGTGACAGGGGATTTGAAAAAAAAAGATTACCCTCATGAGAAATGAGGCATTAAGTATAATAATAGCACATTGATGGTCGGACACAAGACAGACCTTTGAAATTTAATGAGGCCTTCTTTTGCTCCTTCATAAAAAATTGCACAGAATATCTCAATTTATAACAGCATGAATCTGCAAATCAAAATCCATGCTCCTGATTAACTGGCCCAAATGGATTAGAGTTCTTATAAGAAAAAAATTTAATTAGCTTTAAAATTTTGCCAGTATGCTTTTTTTTTGTGTGTGACATAAAAGACTAAAATGAACGTTTTTATTTCTGGTTTACATTAGCAAGCAAAATGAAAGGACATAATAGAAAACTAGTGATAAGGAGCTACAGTTGATGAATATCTCTTGCATAAAAATAGATGGATCAGATGATTTACAATTTCTTTTTTCTTCTGGATGAAATCAGTATTTACTCATCAATACAACATGCAATTCGGAGTTCGAGGGTCAGGGTCAGGGTCAGGGGTCGAGGGTCAGGGTTAGGGTTCAGGGGTCAAGGTCGGGGTGAGGGTGAGGGAGGGTGAGGGGTTAGGGACTAGGGTGAGGGTGAGGGTGAGGGGTTAGGGGTTAGAGTGAGGATGAGGGTGAGGGTGAGGGAGAGGGGTTAGGGTTAGGGGTTAGGGTTAGGGTTAGGGGTTATGGTTAGGGTTATGGTTAGGGTTAGGGATTAGGGATTAGGGTTAGGGTTAGGGTTAGTGACCCGCAGGTTCCCACGGAAGCGAACCCAAGGGCTGGAAATCTTTAGGCAGGAAAGTCAGGCCAAGGCTCCTCCGCCAATGCACCTCAAGAGGGCGCTGTGGGGCGCCTCTGTCCCTCGCTGGGGACGTTTCTCTAGGAAATGTCACCCCTGGTCCTAATCACTCTCCAGAACTCGCTATAGCTCCCCAGGATCCTCAGCATTTCTTCAGGAAAAAGAAAAAAAAATATTAGTTTCTGTACAGAGAAGCCGGATCCTCATCCCACTGCATAGCCTATAGCGTTGACGGGCCAAGTGGCTCTGGCTTCTTGATTTTGGGAGTTGGGCTCCAGGTGGCTGCAAGAATTTCTTGGAGGGGCTCATGGCAATTCTACGGTGCCTGAGACGTGAGCACAGAACACGACTGTGCCTTCCTGCAGTATGATCTCTTCAAACCGATCCTTCCTTACAGGTCTCCGGCCCTTTCATCCCACCCCCCAGCACCCCACATTTCTGACAGTGTATCTTCCACCCTCCTGGACAGAACTTTGGGATTCCTATACCAATGAAAAGTCCCAATATCCTCTGTTCTCCATGGAGGAGAACAGCAGGAGCCAGTTTGAATTTCAACATCTCTAGACGTAAGTTTGGGGGTGAAGGTACCGGCCGTCAGAGGCACTGGGGGTGCGTTGGGAAGAACTTTATTGAACATGATCATAAAGAGACTTGGCAGCCAATCTCCCTCCCTGGAAATTCTACATACAACCGTTCTACTGAGGATTTTAAATTTTATTTGGGCATTCGGTGTGTGCCCGTGAGGTTCTAGAGACCATGAGGAATGCCTGGAATTGAATCTCACACGCCACAAGCAAGGCAAGTCTTCATTATATATATATATATATATATATATATATATATATATATATATATATTTTCTTTTGTGGGTCACACCCGGCGTGCTCAGGGCTCACTCCTGGCTTTTCACGCAGGAATCACTCCTGGCGGTGCTCAGGGGACCCAATGGGATGCAGGGAATCAAACATGGATTGGCTGCGTGCAAGGCAAACACCCTACCCTCTGTGCTATCTCACCAGTGCCTTCAGAACTTTTCTTGCTTAGAGCTAAGAGAACAAAAAATAAAAGGAAAATAACCCTTCCTTGCTCTTCCCAGACCCAGCTCAGACCCCTGCCCCCCTCATTTGTCTTGGGCTCATTATTTGTGTGTTAGGTAAAATTCTTCTTAACCCACCCCCAGTTCCTTTCACTCAGGGGTTCTCTTGGCTCTGACTCAGGAATCACTTCGGCATGATGGTGGGGCTGTATGGAGAGTCAGAGAAAGAACCAGGGTCCTGTGACTGCTGGCATGGGCACTAACTAGCCTCTCTGCTCCTGCTGCCTAGGCCCAAACTATGTGCTTGATTCTTAATGACCCTAGACCTAACTTGAAATCACTCAGACATGACTCAGAAATCACTCCGGCATGACTGGAGAACCCTGTGGGGAGCTATGAATGGACCCGGGTCCTATGAATGCAAGTCAAGAGCCCCAACCTCTCTGCTCCCGCCGCATAGGCCCCAGCAGTTTGCTTGATCTGTAATGACCCTATACTTCACAGGGAATCAAAGAAAAGGGCTGGAAAGCTGAAGCGTGGGAAAATTCGGGTCGCGGAGTTCCGGTAAAACGCCACGAGATGGCGCTGTTGACGTCTCCATCTCTCCCCAGACCCGTTTCTCTTAAGAATTTTCTCTGCATTTTACAGCTAAGAAAAAAAGCCACACTGAATTTTACAGCTAAGAAAAAAGCACATATTACCACTTAATTTTAAATGATGAACATCACACATCACCTCTAAGACTGAAGTGATTCAGTGTGTGACTTGTTCATTAAGGAAGAGTTATCTGAGACGCCTCCTGGCTTTAGAGCAATCACTCTAGTCCTGAATGTTCAGGTTCGGCTGCTCTTGGAAGAGATGGATAAGCCTGGGATACAATTAAAACAGAAAGAAATGACAACACACTCAAAGTTCATCCCCCTGCCTTTTTTCTGGAATGACATCTGTAATTCTCCATCTTTTCTCACAGAACAACAACTGTTAAATATGTTTAAGTCTAAAAGAAAAAGTGTCATCTTCAAGTCAATCGTGTTCTCTGTCAAAAACACACAATTTCCAGAAATTATTTTTTATTCAACTGACAAGCATTTATACAAACAGACAGTACAAAACCAAGCTTTTGACATTTTGAGCAATGCCTTTATATTTAACTAGAGGAATATCTGAAACCAAACGTTTCTTTGCCAGAGAACCAAGAATCTACATTTTCTTGTGAAAGAAAGCAAAGGAAGAAAATACAGATTCCAGTCAAATGACCTTTATAAATTTTTCCCCATGATTTTTCAGGCAAAGCAGGGCATGGTGTCCGGCTGGGTGACAGGTATCCCTGGCTTCTGTGGGACCCTGAGACTTGGGCTTCCCTGGGAAGTTTGGCGACAGCAGACTGGCCAGCCCAGGTACAAGGAGGACAATGCTCCCTGCTGGAGGGACAGTTCCCTGTGAGCAGAGACTTTTCTTCTCTGTTCCCCCAAAGATGCTTTTATATGTCTGATACCCTAGTTTGAAAGCTCCCAGGAACCTACACAACATTTCTTTTCTTGTTTATTTCTGATTTGGGGAAAAGGTACGTGACTCAGGGTTTAAGGTTACGGGGGCCAAAGCGGTTGTACAGTGGACAGGGCACTTGCCTTGCACACCGCCAATCTGGATTATATCCCTGGTATCCCATATGGTCCCCTAAGCTCACTATGGGTAATCCCTGAGTGCAGAGACAGGAGTCAGTCCTGAGCACTATCAGATGGCCCAAAACCAAACCCAACAACAACAAAAAAGAGTTTAGGGTGACGGACGGGTGTGGCTCTCTGAGATCTGACTCTATCCCATGAACAAGGATCTCCAGCATGCCCACAATGCCAGGAAATCCCGGGGTGCATGCGCGCCCACTTCTGAGTCCTGGTAAGAGGCCTCCCTGCAGCAGGGCCAACTCACCACGACACCCCACATTCAACACACCATCAACAGGAATCTGTACCCCAAACAGGCTCTGGGACACAGGGACACAGACGGACAGCCAGGAGAGTCTGAGCCATCATATGCATGAGTTGTACCTGGGATGCCAAGGCCAAAGGCACAGCAGAGAGGTGTTCCACACCACCAGGGAGGGTGGGGCTGAGAGCAGAGCCCTGTGCCGCCATCCACACTGTTGCCCCCAAACGCCATCTCCAGTCCCCATGGCAGTCACTACAGGGATGCGGTGCTGGCCACAGCCTGTTCCAGCTGCTGCAGAAGCTGCTCTGGCTGTGGTGAGAATGCGCTGGTGTCCACTCTCTGGAAGTCGGGGTGAGTCACCACAGAAGCCAGAACCTCAGCAATGCGGCTGATGTTGAAAGCAGCCTGCTGGAGGCCCACCCCAGTGTCCTCACTGTGCTCAGCCTCGCCAGGGTCCATTCCCTTGGTTAGGCTATTGAGCCTCCTTTTGGCAATGACCTCGAGGAAGTGGTAAAATTCTTCAAAATTGATCCCAATACAGGACCTCATAATGACCTGGGTCAAAAAGGAGAGACTCGTGAGCTCCCACACAACCACACATCAGGCAGCATCCTCTGACTGGGCAGAACATGGGCGATGAAAGACCCGAGATGCAGTGTGGTCCAGACAGTGACCAGAAGGGGAACGTCCTTTGCAGAGATGGACCTGGAGACCACCACATCCCTGAGACCACAGCTCTGCACTGTGAGCTATGCCCCAAGATGGCACGGCAGCCTAGCAGTCACCACACACCCACAGCCTCCACTGAAGTCCCCAGTACACCCCACAGCCTCCACTGAAGTCCCCAGTACACCCCAGCATGCCCCCTTTCGGCTCCTTCCAGAGCCCCAGGAAATCCCTGGCTCACCAGTATCTGGCGCTGGCACACACCAATACCTGGCAGTGGTGGTGCCAGTCGGGCATGCTCTCCTTCCACTCGATGACTTCCTGCTGCACTGCAAGGAGTTCCTGCTGCAGGAAGAGCCACATGTGGCCCAAGTTGCAGCCATTGACCCAGTTGTGATTAATGGAGATCATGTCTTCCTACAGGAAGCGGAAGGCACATAGGCTACTCTCTGCAAACACTGCCCACCCCACCCCTCATTTCTCTTGGGCTTTCTTAGCTGGACAAGGGGTGTCCCAGGGGAGGGACAGGGCTACAGGGACAATATGGACAATATGAGTGCACAGCAGATCCCTACAGGCCTGCAACAGTCACACAGGGAAGCCACGAGGGGAGGGAGAAACGAGAATGCTCACTGGGAGGGTTGGGAAGGGCAAGTCCTGCCCTCTTGCTGTAAAGGTACGCAGGGACTGCCAGGAAGGCCAACAGGAACACCTGACTGAGGCGGGGACAGCCTAGGCTTTCTGCTCACAGACACTCCCAGAGAGAGCTCACACCCCCAGTAGGTCGCAGGTGAGGCCACGCCCCCAGGTAGCTCCCGGGACTCATGAGGCTCACGGGGGTGGGGGGGGGGGGCACGGGACTAGAGTCCAGTGTGCCTCCTGGGGGTGGACCCCATTGCCGCTGCCTGGGGACCTGGGAGTACGGGGGCGTGGCCTCACCTTTGAGCCAGCACTGCGCATGGTCTCCCTGTGAGCCTCTCGAGCGGCCCAGGAGCTGCCTGGGGGCATTGCCTCACCTGTGAACTACTGGGGGCGTGGCCTCACCTTTGAGTTGCCAGTGGGCGTGGCCTCCCTGTGAGACTCGTGGGGGCGTGGCCCCCGTGAGCCTCGTGAAGCCTGTGAGCTGCCTGGGGGCGTGGAATCACCTGTGACCTACTGGGGGCGTGGCCTCACCGGTGAGCCACCAGTGGGCGTGGCTTCACCTGTGGGCCTCCGGGGATGTGACCACTCAAGCCGCGCCTCGTGGCGAGGTCCCCCGTGTGAGCCTCGTGGGGCCTCATGGGGTCTTGCCGGGGAGCTGCCTGAGGGAGTGGAGCGGGGAGGGGCGGGCGCTCAAGGGGAGCCGCTGCTGCACACCTGAGAGTCTCCTGCGGTTTTGACTTGGCGCCCCATGGCCTGGGAGGCCCCACCCCACGTGGGTATGTCCAGCGCATTCAGGTCACTGTGTGTGTGTGGAGCTTGTCTACCAGCGCCTGGGGTCCTGAGCCTTAGGCCCTTGGCCACCTGCTCTGGGTGCCCCTGGGAACCTGGCGGCTGCTGCACTGCGTCCCTCAGGTGAGCGGTGTTGGTGCTGCCGGAACAGTGGCCGGTACTGCTCAGGCCAGGCACTCGGGATGGGGCGGGTCGTGGCTGGGCCACGGGGCTGGAGCAGAGTTCCCAGACACCCACCCCCCCCATTCATCGCCCAGGGAGGCCCTGCCAGCCTCACCACTGCCCGGGAGCTGTCCCTGACTTTTTTTTTTTTTTTAAGATTTTTATTAGTGAAACACCATAAGGTATAGTTGTAGATTTACAAATTTTTGTGCTTGGGTTTCAGTTATACAATGATGGAGTACCCATCCCTCCACCAGTGCCCATTCTCCACCCCCACTGATCCCGGAATCCCTCCCACCCTGCCCCTCTCCCCCCCCTCCCCCATCCCACCCTGCCTCTGTGGCAGGGCATTCCCCTTTTGATTGTTTTCAATAAAGCTCTTCTTCTTACGTTTTGAATTGGATCACAGTGGGATACACGTTACAAAGTTGTTGATGATTGGATTTTCCAGTCCCAAGATCCTAATGTCCACACACCCATCCCTTCTCCCAACTACGCTTCTCACTGCCACTGTCCCCAACTTCCCTCCCCAGGGCCAGGTACCCTTGAGTGCACCAGAAACGTGCCTCACCTGATTCACTCTGTGTGTGCTTCTGTCACCAGGGTCCACTGGGAGCTGTGGGTGGGCTCCAGAAGATGAGGTCAGAGCACCTAGGCTTCAGAGGTAGGACTCCTGCAGGCCTCTTACTCCCCTTTAGCATAGTAACCCGTGTTACTATTAGACCATCACTGCCCTTCCCTAGCATACATGTCTCAGGGGAGCAGTTCTGAAAGATCATGGAGTGGTTTTTGTGTTTTTTTTGTTTGTTTTTGCTTTTTGGGTCACACCCGGTGATGCATAGGGGTTACCCTTGACTCATGCACTCAGGAATTACTCCTGGAAGTACTCAGGGGACCATATGGGATGCTGGGAATCGAACCCAGGTCGGCCGTGTACAAGGCAAATGCCCTACCGGCTGTGCTATCCCTCCAGCCCCTGAAAGATCATGGAGTGTTGAAGGGGGAATTCCTTCTCAGACTGCATTCTTCCTAGCCCCAGCAGGGTCCTAGTCTCATCGTTATGGCAGCATTTGTCCATGATAATGCCCTCAACTTATAGTTGAGTATTGTGGCACTTTGGCCTGGCTCATTTCGATGCCAGGGTAGCTTACAGCTTGCCCTGGGTCCATTCAGTCCCTTGTCGGGACCCTGCTTTGAGGTGCTAGGAACTAAGGGCAACTGTGTCATGAAAGCAGATGCCCAGGTGTAAATATTATTCGGAGTCAATCAACTCCCAAGTTACAAAAGCATAACATTAACTGTCTTCCTGTGTCCATACAGAAAGGACATTGCTTTAAGATGTAACTTAACCTACAAATTCTGTGTTCTTAGAAGGATCTGATCTTATAAGCTAACAGAATCTGATTAGGGAGAAAAGGTGATTAGCTGATTGGGGAGGAGAGCACAGAGAAAAGTTTACAGATAAATTCAGAGGAATGGGAGTGACTCTGGAGCACTGTGATGGGTGTAACCAATAAACCCAAGCTCCCTGTGCCATTGTTATCCTACATTTGCTGGCATGTACAAGCCTGCAGAGCTCACCCTCTGGGTATGATCGCCATTGCTTTATTTCCTGTGTTTGGGCACCGGAAGTTTCAGGGATTGCATGCTGTCATCTACGTGTAGCACAGCTGTACTTGCATTGAAAATTGGTCATCTTTTTCCACAAGGAGTTTCCTGGGAAGCACCATCTGTATTTTATGACAGTGAGTCCCGAAGAGCTTTTCAGGACTCAGAAACTCCATGACAAGCACCCTTTGAAAGACCACTGTCAACATATGTACTATGTTGCAATATACATATATTGCAATAGATATGCAATAGATATGCAAAATATATGCAGTATTTCTGATGGATTTCCACTTTCACATGGATGCAAAGTGAGTCCTTGAGTTTCTTTTGGGGAGTCCAGACTAGTGGCATTCTTGTATGGATTTGACACCCCTGCTTATGTGGCATGCTATACTGTTTCCATGTATTATCCAAGTGTGCTTTTATTCTCTACTGAGACTGTATTAGTAATTGCAGCAGTGTCAGTGTTTTGGATTGTCTGCTACTGCATTCATCCTGAAGGATGATTCGTCTATGGATTGGTTATTTCAATATGTGTCTTTGAAGTTTTCTCCATTTTACTGCCTTAGAAGTGGACCAGAGAGGAAGTCCCAGTGAGGGAGGGGAAATGAAGTGGGGTGCGCGGGAGGCCCATGTTTTCAGGGCATCCATCGATCCTGAAGAAGGTGCATTTATGATGACATTCTAGGCATGTAATTAATTTGTGTCAGAGTATTTACTGTGAGTACGAACACTTGGGAGGCCTTTCTTTCTTTTTTCAGTTTATCTGTGCCTTTTTTCAGCTTTGAGTGAAACCAGACACTTTGGGTAGACTACTGCAAGTTATGTGTGTATGGTCAAGTCTGTGGTCTGTGGATGGACATTTCAGTCCATGTTGCTCTATTTGGCATTCCAGTAGTAACTCAGGAATGCCCCTGGTGAGTGAATGGAGGAGTGTTAGCTGGGTTCCTATTCTTACTCAGGACTGCCTCGTGGACATTTGCACATCTTTTATGATGTTGGTCATTGACTTGTACTCTGGACTTCCTGTAGAAGTTGGACTTTGTGTGGTTGGGGTGCTGTTGCAGTGTGTCTTTCACCACCACTAGATGGTGTCGGGTGTTTTAAGTTTTCATTACAGTTTGGCTGTGTTCTCTCACCCGAGCAGGGACCACCCATTCACCATCACTGGGTGTGTTTCGAGGAGACTAATAAAAGACCTGCGCCTGATCTTTTTATTAATTAACTTATTTTCCTTCGGTAGTGTTTGTTTGTGCTATTGCCCCTGTGCTGTTCCCACATATTTATGCGATGTGTTTGTGTGTGCTTCATGGTGCTGCTTCTTTTGCTGTTAGGTTTTACATCGTGGCTGAAATGATCATGACTTGCTGTTTCTGAACATTGGTGTGGTTACGTTAGATTAATGTTACAATGGTTACGTGGGGATGTTAAGATTGTGGTTACTGATGTTTAAAAAACTCACTGAAACTGGGATCACAGGATACAGGCGAACACAGATGGTCTCGATAATTCATTGCTCATATAAGATGCATTTGCAGAAAGCACCTATTTCCAACCAGCTGCTGAAAACAAGGTTCAAATTATTACTTATTCTCACATGTGTTGTGGTTTTCATGCTTTGGCTTTGACTTAAGTAAGCCATTGCTTAACATGTAGTGCTAACCATTTTCTTATATTCTCTATGCACCCTATTTCTTGTTTTACCTGTATGTTTTGTATTTCTTGTTATGCCTGTATGTTCCATATTTCTTGTGTACCTGTATTTTGCATATTTCTGTTCCATAATTTTGTGTCACAGACATGATTTACAAATCATAAGTTTTCTTTGCTTTATTTCCTAATCCTGATCCTTAGAGCAGACACAGGCATGAGTGTTCATTCACATGCCTGTGGACTCCCATCCATGTGAGCACATTCACTGAAGCTTCCCTTTAATCAGTCATGTTCTATGGAAGTAACTGGCAGATGCAAAATTCACAGCCAAATGTCTGTCTACTATCTCTTGCATGTGCACCCCCCCCACCACACATACCCCTACTTGCACACACACGCTCAGACCATGGCACTTTATTCTTTGCGTAGGAAACAGGAATACTTGGCTAAGCTTCTCAGACCTAGGCATACTAACTCACACCTGCTTGTGTTACCTTGGTGCTCACTTGGGTGTGCAAATTTGCTTTACCTTTCATTTTTATCACATGCTTAAAT